TTTGAAGTCATAAACACAGCGATGGGTTTGTTCCCACTGCCTGATCCAAGGGAATGTTCTGCCCCGAGCCCAGCATCCGAGCGGGGGGCGAGTGGTGCTGCAGCCCCATCCCGCAGCAGCGCCGGCCACAGATGGTCCTGCAATCACTGCTTGCTTTCCCATCGTGTCTTCCTGGGACATGTGTTTCGTGTTCCCATTCCTCCAGCCTCCCTGGTTTTGTGAATCACACTTCATAAAGCAACGGCTACCTAGGGAACGTGAGGCAGAACATTGGATTCCTCCCCTGCAGAGGAATTTTTCACTAGCGCTGCCACGACCCAGCTCATAAAGCAGCATCCGTGGCTTTAATCCGTATTTAGCAATACAGCCAAGCACACACCTACATCCACCTCTGTCCGTGATAACGCTTGGGCATGGCTTGAACTCTTCCTCCCGTGATGGTCTGCTTGCCTTTAATCCAGGTCTCATTTCCTGGTCCCCACCAAGCTCGTCTCCAGGATAACTCCTTGCCCCTTCATTTTTAGCCTCCATCAACGGATTTGGCTACTGGCGCTTACGTATTCCTCACTAAGGCACTTGAAAGTGTTGAGATGAAGGGTTAAACAAAAGCATAACAGCAGTCCCCTTCCTTCTGCAGTGCACATGGGCTGGGCTTCCCTGGCACCGCTGCTCAGTGGACGACCGGAGCTGACAGAGGCAGCGTCAACTACGACTGAAATCAGACATAAATGAAACCCTCCTAGCAGTAACCAAGCTGAAAACTGCAGATGATTCCCTGAGACACACGCACAGCGCTTTTCCTTTGCCATTTTCCAGGCAGGTAATGAGCTAGGGATGAAACCTCCGGGCTTGGCAGACCCCCCTCATCTACCCCAAATCCCTCCTGGCTTCTTTCGGTGGAAAAAGGGAGTATTTCACTCAACTAAGAATGAGCAAAAGCTGATGTTTAAGCTGAAACCTCAAAGGAAGCTGCCTGTGTAACCACAGCTGGGAAGCTGCATCCCTAAATACTGACAGCCAATTTGCTCTTTTGGTGTAATATAATTCCAAGTCAGTCAATAGAGCTCCACCAGGGATTCATTTGGCCTTTCGTATTTACAGGAGCAGGGAAGAAAAGGAGGGACCACTAAAACCCATCTCTCGTGCCACCGGAGCCAGTGCAGCACCAGCACTTTATATGCTGAGACATGGGGTGGGAGGGGATAACTCAGCTGAGTGGGATTTGGGGATGTTTCCCCAGTTCAGGAGGCGCCTGGAAAAGGTGGAGAACACAGGGATGCAGCTGATGGGCTGGGGTAAAGAAGGGACATGGAGCTGCTGGAGCGAGGCCATGGGGATGCTGCAAGGGCTGGAGCAGCTCTGCTCTGGAGCCAGGCTGAGAGAGCTGGGCTGGGGCAGCCTGGACAAGAGAAGGCTCCTGAAGGGGAGACCTGAGAGCAGCTCCAGTGCCTGAAGGGGCTGCAGGGAACCTGGAGAGGGGCTTGGGACAAGGGCCTGTAGGGACAGGCCAAGGGGAATGGCTTGAACCTGCCCAAGGGGAGACTGAGCTGAGCTCTCAGGCAGAAGCTCTTCCCTGGGAGGGTGCTGAGGCGCTGGCACAGGGTGCCCAGAGAAGCTGTGGCTGCCCCATCCCTGGCAGTGCTCAAGGCCAGGTTGGACACAGGGGCTTGGAGCAAGCTGCTCCAGTGGAAGGGGTCCCTGCCCGTGGCAGGGGTTGGAGCTGGAGGAGCTTTAAGCTCCCTCCCAACCCAAACCAGGCTGGGGTTCTGTGGCTCTTAACCCAGCCCCGGGACCCTCAGCAGACGGGATGGGTTTAACCCCACATGGGGGCTGTTTGGGAAGGTGGGAGCGGGCGATCCTCCCCCTTGCAGTTGCACCGTGCCTTTCCCTTAAGCCAAGTGTTTTCCCGAGGCCCGACCAAGGACCCGGTCAGCGCAGGCTCCTCCAGGCTGCCGCAAGCTGCTTGCTCGGATTGAGCCTGCCGCTAACGCTCCCGTGCCTGCTTGCAGGCTGCCTATGGGATGGGAGCCCCCCATGGGTGCTGCGGGGGTGCGGGAGGCTCTCGGGGCTGCGTTACCAGGCGGGCAGTGCCTCCCCCCTTGTGCTACAACAGGGGGGAGCCTGCGAGCACAGACCCCGCAGCTCGAGGTCCCTTCCTGTCCTCGCAGCGTTCCGGGGGGTGAATTCCTTCCTCTTCTCCCACTTTTCTGTGACTGTTTGAGCTCGCCCCCACCGTTCCGGCCCGCGGGAGGAGCTCTGGGTGTTGCTCTGGGGGTGCACAGTGCAAACACCCCTTCTCCCAGCCGGGGTTGCTGACCTGCAGTGAGCAGGGGGGTGCTGGGGATCTTCCCTTTCTCTCCCGTGGGCCAAATTGAGGTTTTACTCCTGAAACCAAGAGCCAGGAAAAGCAGAGATCCTTTTCCCTGGCATCCCTGTGCTTAGTGGTGACATCCTTTTATCTTAGTGGTGAAATTCTCTTTTCCCTCCCCGGCTCAGCCATTTGTGTCTCCCACCCGTGGAGATGAGGGGTGCAATGGGACAGAACTGGGCCCTGAATCTCTGCTGCTGCCTGGCCCGCGCTGGAGCTGCTCCAGCTCCTCCTATGGCTGTGGGGCTCTGCAACCTCTTGTGCCAAGCGGGACAACCTCAGCAAGTCACTGCTGTAGCCCAGGGATGCGATGGGGAGCGGTGGCTGCTCAGGCAGCAGGCAGCAGAACAGCCCTGGGTGCTGTTCCCTTCCCCAAACCCAGGCCAGGAGTCGGGGTGGGAAGATGCTGTTTTGGGGCTTCAGTGGTTTGGGCTTCCTGGCTAATGAGGAAGGAAAATCCAGCCCCATGTCTGGTCTGTGCCTCTGCACTGACAGGGTGAGGAACAGCAGACACCAGCCACGCTGCGCTGTCATCAGCAGTCAGCATCGGGGGTTTTCCCCTCATCCCTGCAGAAAGGGACGAGGAAAGACCCCACTTCAGAAGAAATCAGTTTCTATAAAGGAGAGGGAGCTTTTTTCACTCGAAAGTGGTGTGCTTCCCACTCTTGTGCAGCTCTAGAGCACACAGTGCTCCATCCTCAACCTGCCCGTGCTCCAGTGCTCTCCTGTTCCAAACAGCCGGAACAGGGAAAGTGGCCTCACCTCCACCTCCACCGCTGCGGGCAGCTGTTAAATGTCTGATATCTGTGCTAACCTTTGGCATCAGTTTGTCCCGAATGCTGTGAAGCTGTAGGCTCATTGCTGATGTTGCAGTGCGGCTTTGGCTGAGCCTAACGCGCATCAGGCACAGCAGCAGGAGCAGGTTGGGGTCTACCAAGGGACTGCTGTGAGGCGTCCCTGCCCACGGCAGGGGGCTGGATCTGGGTGATCTGAAGGTCCTTTCCAACCCAAAGCATTCTGTGAGTCTGTAAGATGTGGGGTTCATTTGTGTGCTGTTTCTTCCTGAAGGGCAAGGGCTCATGTGTGTGTGTGTGTGTGTGTGAGGGAGGTGTTTGACACCGACCCTGTCAGCCCACACCACAAACTGCTGAGCAGGGAGGGCTTTACAAACCACTCCAGCAGCCGGCGCCCGGGATCGAGGTCCCCAAGCCCCTCAACTCCACGTCCCAGCTACTTTCCCCTCTCATGTTCTGCTGTGTCCACGGCGTGTTTGGTAACTGCTCATCTGATCGTGATCTGGGGCGGTCTCACAAACACCCCGTTGCCTGAGCGCTTTCCCACTTGAATGCTGCCTGATGAGCCGGGAAAGCTCGTTGCTCAGGCCCATATAAACACGGGTTATCTTCCGAGCACACTAAACCAGGGGCTCTGTGATGATGGGGAGGTGCAGAAGCCTTGTGGGCTTCCAGGGTTGTAGCTGTTCGGGTTATTCACTTTAGCTCCGTTCCTTTTGCTGCAGCCCCAGTGACTGGTGCTTGTTTTAGGCTTACTTGGATGTCACACTCAGATGCAGCACTCGCTGCTGGGGACTCCTGGGCCAAGCTCTCACCCTCTTCCTGGGCCTCCTCATTGCCTAGGTCACTCCAGAAACACGATGGGAGCACAGTTTATCCTCCCAGCTCACACTCGGTGAGCTCACACTCACATCAGGTGAAAATCACCGATCCCTTTCCTACATGTGCTTCCCTACTGGCAGTCAGCACTGCCAAGCCCGTGTTGTCCATGGGGTTACTCAGTCACCGTGATGGAGCTGCTGCTCCTTGGAGCTGGCAAATACTGGTGGAGAGCGGCTCTCCTCCTCTCCACTGAGGAAGGAGGAGAAACTTCAGCTTCAAGCTCCAGATACAAAGGAAACCACGCGCTGTTGGAGCTGGTGCCTCCAAGCAACTGAGTTTCCCCTCGATCTTCCCCTGCATAGCATTGGGGTCCTGCAAAGATCACAGCAGGGACCGATCTTCTGATCTTGCTCCTGCTTGTGGGATCCTTGCAGACCACAAGTACAAGGCAGTATTTTAGTGGGGCTCCTGCAGTTTAGCTGTATTTCAAGCAGACCCTCGGGACCTGGGGGAGTTTAATGCCTTGTGTGTGCAGTTTTCTCTCCTGGTCCACTTTGGGTTGCTTGTCCCACGTGCTGGTGTCCCGCTTCCAGAAGTTTCCTAGCTTTAAAAGAAATAGGACAACAAAAACCGCCCGTTCCGCAGCTAAGGGAGGAACTTCAGCAGTAGGGGACTGTGGTCCTGCCAAAGCCACCCCATCACTGGTCAAATAACGGCCAGGGCTTGTTGGAGCTCTCTCCTTCGGGTGTTTAAACCCGGTTTTCAGGAGAATATGGAGAGTTCCGGGCACTGTCCTGGCTGGGATGAAGAAATCACTGCTGTGCCTCAGGCCTGTTGGTGGAGCCCATGAAGACCACGTCTGGTGAGGACACAACGTGGTGCAGCAGGGACGGGCTACACGGGGACGCGCTGGGCACCGGGTTACCCCCCACTGGCCTTTTCCCCCGCTGGCGTTGCACCGATGGGGGTTCCGGGGCCGCTCGGAGGGAAGCACCCACACAGCGGGGCCCCGACCTTCACCTACATCGGTGCCTGTGGAACGACGGCCGCGGAGCCCCCGTGTCTTCCCTCCCTCCCTCCTCCCCGGCAGCTCCCGCACCGAGCCCGGGGCTGCACCGCCCCAGAGCCCCCGGGCACAAGGACGCGGTTGCGGGGACCCCGCCGGGATCCCCGCGGGGACGCGGCTCCGGCCCGCGCAGGCCGCCGGTGACCGGGCAGGGGGCGGCCGGTGCCGGCTCCGGGGTGCGGAGGCGGCTCGGGGGCCGCTGGGGAACGGCCGGGGCGGCGCTGCCGGGCGGGAACGGGGCGCGCCTCCCGCGGAGGAGCCCGCGCGGGTCGGGGGCTTCGGCGGTGCCCCCTGGTGCCCGTCCCCCCCGGTGCCGCCCCCCCCCCCCGGCCCGGCCGCGGTACCGGGGACTGGGGGGGAACAGGAGCGGGGGGGGGGGGGGGGGGGGGCGGCACCGGGAGGTAGGGGGGGGGCAGCGGTGGAGGGGGGGGTGAGGGGCGGGGCCAGGCGCGGTGATTGGCCGGTGGCGGCGAGCAGGAGCGCTCTCGATTGGCCGTGGCGGCGGAGCGAGCGGCGGAGCGGCGGGCGGCGATTGGCTTCGGACGAGGAAGTAGGAAGGAGGCCGGAGGGGCGAGCGGCTTGCGGGGAGTTCGCGGCGGTGGCGGCGGTGAGCGGCGCCTCCCCCCCCCCGTCCCCTCCGGCTGCGCCCCGCGGCCCCGGCGCCCGCCCGCTCCCCCCCCTCCGCCGCCCCGGCCTCTGCGCGCCGCCCGCCCGGGCCGCGCCGGATCGCGACGCCCTGCGGCGAGGGCGGGCGGCGGCGGCGGCGCCTCATCCCCATCCCGCAGCCGGAGAGGCGGAGGAGGAGGCGGCGCTGACGCAGCAGCGTGGAGCCCGGGACTCGGGCGCCCCGGCAGCGCTCCCGTCGCTGGATCTCTCCCGAGCCGGGGCCTGCGGCAGCCCCGCGGCACGGCAGCGAGCCCCGGTGAGTCCCCACGCGGCCGCGCACACCGGCCCTGAGCAGCCCGCGGCGCCGCCTCGGACCCTGCGCCCGCCGTGGCTCCGGCGGCCGGGAGCAGGTGCCGCCCCGGCGGGGGTGGGGGGGAGGCCGGGAACTTTTCTCCCCGCCCGCGGGTGAAGACTCCGGAGCCCCGGGAGGGCTCCCGGCGGCGGCGCCCCGCGGGGAAGCGGCCTCGGCGGCAGGTGGGGCCGGGCCGGGCCGGGCCCCCTCAGGTGCGGGCGGCGGTTGGGCGCGCGCGGCGGCCGTTAACTTGCCGGGTCCCGGCGGCGTGAGGCCGAGCCCGGCCCGGGCCCACCCGAGCCCCGTCCCTCGGCTCCTTCGCCGCGGGTCCTCCCGCGGGGCGAGCCCCGGCGGCTCGGCAGGACAAAGGCGGCGGGGCGGGGGCCGGGCCTCCGGGCCGGGGAAGTTGCGGGGGGCCGGTGCGGGCTCGGGTCTGTGCGCTGCGGGGGGGGGGGGTGGGGGGGGTGCGCTCTCGCCCCGGGGGGCCGCGCAGCGGGGACGGGAAGGGTTTGGTTTGTCGCGGCATCGGAGGCGATTCCCGTGGGCTGGCGGGGCCGCTCTCGCCGCTCGCTCCCTGCCGGGGCTCCGGGGCGGCGGCCGACGGCGGAACCGGCTCTGCCCAGCGAGAAGTTTGCCCGGGGCGGGCGGTGCGGGGAGGGTTGCTGTGTGTGTGTGTGTGTGTGGGACGGGACGGGACACACGACCCTGGCCTGGGCGGCCGTTAACGGAGCGGGCGAGTCGTGCGATGTCCCGTGAGGTGTCGCGATGCGCCGGGCGCGCAGGTGGCATCGAGCGGGGCACGGCGGAGGAGTTGGGATCTCCGCGGTGTTCCGCCCGCCCCGGGCCGCGCTTGCCGAGTGTTCCCCGTGGCTCTGGACATGCCCCTGTTCCTGTCGGTAGCTCCCGTGGCCCAGAGCTCGTTTCCTCCTCTCCTTTTGTGTAGCCGTGGCTCCTCATGGAGGCAGCTCCGCTGGCTCCCTCTTTTCCAGCTGCTTCTCCAAGGCGCAGGAGCCAGCACATGTGACTGGGCAGATCTCAGCAGACTGGCGAGTGCTCCCTGGGCTACTGCAGAGAGCAGCCACCGGCACAGGGATGCTCACACCGGGCACGGGGACCCCCTCGCTTCCCTAACAGCAGCCCCCATAACTTGAATGACAGCGTTTGGGATCGGTTCTGTTTGCCTCCTCTTTTATTCCTTACCTCCCCCCCCCCCCTTCCCTTTCCTCTTTCTCTTTCCACGAGTGCTTATCTGAAAGAGGTTCTGGTTTTGTTGTGAAGAATACAGCTGCCCCTGGTGCTCGCTTTCCATCTGAAGTCACCATTGCCAGCACCTCGAAGCAAAAGGCTTTTTGCTCGCCTGGTTAATTGATCTGTCCATCAGTTTGCCACAATTAGGGAGCTTTTGCTCCAGCCTGTTGGGCTCGGGGTGATCTTTGGTGCTGCGGTTGCAGGGTTGTGTTCTAGGGGCTTGTTTTAAGGGTTTCAGCCCTTATAGTTGTGAGAGGGAGCATGACACGAGCTGGGTGATAGACGGATGCGTTTGAAATCTTAATGTGATTTAAATGCCAGCACGCTACTGATGGCTTTAACAGAAATACCCTGCTAACATATTCATCTGGAGCCATCCTTCATGTTTGTCATGTCCTGGCTACCTGAGTCCTTCTCCAGCTTCAGCTGGAACTGCCTAAATATTTGCTCACGATAGGAAGCTGCGTGTTAGTGTGATTTAACAGGACAGTTTGGATTGAAGCATTGATTTCTGTTTGTTTTCCCAATGAATTCAGTGCAGCGTTTTTAAACAGAGCAGCGGTGTAGACTTTGCAGCTGCTCTGCTCGGGCAGAACTGTGTTGCCGCCATGTGAAGCGGAGCATCACTTACAGCTGCAAATCCACCAGGAAACACCAAACCTGCGGGTGGAAGTCAGTCCTCCCTCTTTGTGAGGGGTGCATCCTTTCGGGGTGCTCTGTGTGCTGTGGTTTGGCGGTGACAGTTGCACAGAACAATATAATGCCACTTAGAAGTGTGGCTTTTGGGGGGAAACCGGTCACAGCCTCGCTCCTGTGGCAGGAGTGTTGTTATTTCCGAAGCCACTGAGGTTTTTCCATCCAGCTCCACCGGTTGGTCCGATGGTGGTGCTCTGTCCTTCTTGCCAGGCATCTGCATCCCCTTTCTGCCCAACAGCCTTATTTAGTTGGGGTTATTTGCCCTCTCTGGGCAGAATCTGAGCCTATTCTGTTAGCTCTGAGGGTGTGAAGTGCGGCTGCACAGCCGGTGGGACACGTGTGCTGGTGCAGTCTGTGGGTATGATTTAGATAGCACTTGGTGATGATCTGGGGGGAAATACCCCTTTCAGCAGATGCTACTGCCATAGTACTGCAGTGCTGAAAACAAGCCCTTGGGAGCAAATCCATCCGAAGTAAACAGCTGAAAAATAATGAGGCATCATAGGCAAAGGCACATGTACTGTTTGGATTAGGAGGAAATGAATGATTACATCTGGGGGGGCTACAATCCAGAGGTGTGCTCCGATGGGCAAATAGTCCATCCAAAAGCCCTTTCTGCCTTATCTACTACTCGATTAACCCTGGTGATACACCCCATGGAAGTAACAAAAGGAACAACCCCTGCTTCATGCGCAGCCACCCGAACTAATCAAGTCCCAGGTATCATATTGTTCCCAATACATGAAACAGCAGGGAAGTACAGAAAAAACCCACCCAAAATAAACCCTCCAAAGCAGTTGTAAAACTAAAAATAGCTTTGGACACGAGCTGGTGCTCTGTGCCATCGGCTCTCGGGGCCAGCACAGCGTGTGTGTGACACCAGGGACACTTGATGGTCCCTGCCCTCTGGTCTGCTTCGCCTCAGAGCCTGGCTGTGAGCTGCTGGGTAGCTTCGTGGCTGTGGATTTGTGTCTGCTGGTATTGCCTCAGAGTGGAAGGCTGGGGAGTGGTTGGAGCTTGTGAATGCAAACTGTATTTAAAGGGGAAGAAAGAAAAGAGGGAGGCTTTGCAGGCAGGCCCTGGGGGAACTGTGCTCTTTGCTTCAGCATCATGGCCCTAAGGCTTGGGGGAAGGAGAGGTGTCTGCAGAATCGCTCATTGCTGTCTGGCACAGCCATCTCCTTCTCATTTGGACCAAAGGCAGGGGTTTAGTGGCAAAAAATCACAGGGTCATGGAGTGGGTTGGTGGGGACCTTGAAGCTCATCCAGTTCCACCCCCTGCCATGGTCAGGGACACCTTCCACTAGATCAGGTTGCTCCAAGCCCCATCCAGCCTGGCCTTGGACGCTGATGGGGACGGGGTAGATTAAAACTCATGGCCAGGTTGCTGCTCTGAGTGAATGAGTTGGCTGTTACAAGATTATTACAGTATAAGCTTTCACACTTGCAGCCCCCGCACCAGCAACCAGTATTCTTCAAACAGGGAAAATGCACTTAAATGTAATACTGCTACTTTTCTTTCTTAAGACAGAAAGAAATGTGATTGTGTGGGACAATGCAATAGGCCTTTATCCACTTAGTGTCCAGGGTTGATATTCTAGCATGAAGCTTTATTATAGAAACATAGACTAAAGTGGAGTCGCAGTGATGTTTCACCTGAGAGTATAAAACATCTTATAGAAGGACAGCACAGTGGAAATCTTTATCTTGCTGTAAAGAGAAAGGAGGGACTGATGTTATCATTGAAAAGCCAAACCAAAGGATGTCATTAAGGAGAATAAGTCTAAATGTGATTTAAAAGTCATCATTTTGCCCATTCGCTGTCCCCTGTCAATATTTGTGCCATTGGAATTTAATTCATCTGTTACGTGTTATTTCGTGTCGGCAATGGGGGTGAAAACCCACATGAAATAGAGCGAGCATGGAGAGCTGGTGCGATGTGAAGTGCAGCCAGCTGGGTGAAGAGAGCAGCCGGAACCTGTCGTACAAGGCTCTGAGCTGTCAATATTCCAGTAATATCATTTACAAAGAATATTTCCAGTTAAATTGTGCTGGAAGCCCCTCAGGTGGGTTCGGCAGTGCTGGGCGCTGCTGCTGGCCATGGGCAGCTGAAAATGAAGATAACTTGTCTGGAGAAGGAAATGTATTTCTCACATTCCCCTAATCACCCAATCCCAGACTAGTTCATCTCGGAAGGGACCTTAAAGCTCCTCCAGCTCCAGCCCCTGCCACGGGCAGGGACCCCTTCCACTGGAGCAGCTTGCTCCAAGCCCCTGTGTCCAACCTGGCCTTGAACACTGCCAGGGATGGGGCAGCCACAGCTTCTCTGGGCACCCTGTGCCAGCGCCTCAGCACCCTCCCAGGGAAGAGCTTCTGCCTAAGAGCTCAGCTCAGTCTCCCCTCTGGCAGGTTCAAGCCATTCCCCTTGGCCTGTCCCTACATCCCTTGTCCCAAGCCCCTCTCCAGCTTTCCTGCAGCCCCTTCAGGCACTGGAGCTGCTCTCAGGTCTCCCCTTCAGGAGCCTTCTCTTGTCCAGGCTGCCCCAGCCCAGCTCTCTCAGCCTGGCTCCAGAGCAGAGCTGCTCCAGCCCTCGCAGCAGCTCCATGGCCTCCTCTGGCCTCGCTCCATCAGCTCCAGGTCCCTCTGGTGCTGTTGCCCCAGAGCTGGGTCAGGACTGCGGGGGGGTTTAATCCTAACCCTCGACCTGCTGCTGCTCAGGTTCCTTATCACTGATATACATTGAATTTCATGGAGTCTTCCGGCCAGGGTGTGTGGTCATTAACTCGAGGTGAGTCAAAGCTAAGCTGAGGGACACTTCTCATTCTTGCCTCAGTTCCCCCAGGTGTGACCCTGCTCGCTACTGACGCAGCTGTTAAACGTCCTCTCGGTGATGTGCCACCGAACCAGTCTTTCCTCAGCCAGCTAAAAGCCTTGGGAAGGCGCGGTTTAATACTCCGTAAGCCCCGTGGCACGGAGCGCTCCCACTTGGTGCCTGAGCTGTGCCGGTAGCAGTGGAGTCTAGCAAATAAACACCTATTAAGCTGGGGAAGGAATGTGTGTCAGCTCCCGGAGAGCACAGCGTGCTCAGGGCTTTACGTGCTCGCTTTTCACACGTGGCAGGGCTGGGAATGCTGCTTTTATCACCTTTCCTTACCCTTCTGACCTGGGCTGTAGGTGCATCTTCAGTGAAGATGCTCCGTTGAGTTCTTGCGGGGGGCTGCCTTCAATCATGCCTTTTGTAAGGCTCCTTCCTTTGCTGTTTCAATGTCCCAGTGCGTTTAGAGATGGGCAGTCCAGGGGTTTGAGGGGTGTTTACTGCAACACGTGCAGCCACGCACGAGGATGGAGAAGGCTGGTGGCAGCTCAGCTCAGCTCATCACTGGCCCATTGAGTCTCACACCAGTGCTGGAGACCAGCCTGGTGCGGGGAGGCTTTGGGATGCCCGTGTTGTGGCTGTAACCTGCTGCTCAGCTGTGTGTTAGGGATGAAAGCGCTTCCAGAAGCTGCCTGGGGAGCAGGCGGGCTCCTGGGTGCCTGAGCGGAGTGGTTCGGGCATGGTGTTAAACGTGTTGTGGTCAGGACTAAGATGATGCTTCCTTCAGCTTAGGGCTGTCAGCTGCTGTGCTCCTCGTGTCCCCCTTCTCTCAAACAAAGGTGTGACTAAACACGATGATTTTTATATCTCCCCCCCCTCCCCTCCCTTTGTAAGCCACATCCCAGGAGTGCTTGTGGCACCCATTGTTCTTCAAGGCAGGTTTCTGAAGGGCTTTCTCATGTTTTGAAACCACGCAGCTTGCCCAGCTCAGCAGGCTTGGTTATTTGTATTTAAATAGAAGCTCCTGGCTTTTAGCGACTGCATCTCTATCAATATTTCAACTTATTTACGATGCTCTTAGAAATAAAAAGGAGGCATTTTCTGGCATCGATTTGAATAAAACCGCTTTGCTGGCAGCTTAGGCTTTTTCTTTTTTTTTTTTTTCTCCCCAGCATCTGAATTACCGTCCTTTAACTAAAACCCCAGTGCTGGGGGAGGCATCGCGATCCACGGGCATCGCTGCTTCCTACGTACACGGTGCA